CACGCCTGGCTAATTTTTTTGATTTATTGTAGAGATGAGGTCTCGTTGCCCATGCGGGTCTTGAACCCGCGGGCTCAGGCAATCCACTCACCTCAGCCTCCCAAAGGCGCGGGATTACAGGTTGAGCCACCGAGCCCGGCTTAGGTTGCTGCTTTATAATTCAATATAATTCCTTGACCCAAATTCCTAAATTTCAACATATTTTCCCCTAACTTTTGATCAGTAGTATTCCCTAAATGTAGATATTCTTTAAACACATGATCAACTTGTTCATATTACAATATCAGTGAGGATAGCCACATTTTGTCTTTTAGTCAATGAGGGACAAGAAACTGTGAGAAATGGATCCCTTTTTCATAACCTTTTTCTCAAAAATTTTCAAATGCCCCAAATAGGCATCTTGAAAGTAGCAAGATCAGAGAATGACCTTCTCATAGAGTAAATGTTCAATTTATACTTTCTGAATAAGTTGTTGCAAATGCACAGAAGCCATGGACCATTTTCATGCCTGCCTGCAACAACCCCCCCCCGCCCCCCACGCCGGCCCCCGGCCCTGGTCCTTGGAGCACTTCCTATGTACTCAAAACTGCGCCAGATTCCTGGGACCACAACATAATAGGATATGGTTCCTGGCCCTGAACTTGCAATATAGTTATGGGATTAAACCAACAGATCTGATTCAAATAGAAAACCACCTTCACCCACTTGTGATCCTGGCTATACACACACAGCAATTGAAAGGTGTGGAAATGTATGGAGATGAGGGGATGGCATTGGAGGAATTTACGCTTTCTGGTGAAGGATGTTTGGTTACTTGAAAAGCAGAGGAAACGGAATGTGTCAGGCTCAAGAAGATTTATATGATCTCGTATCTTTACTAACAAAAATTCAAATGTGATGGAAAGTACATATTATGCAGCCAGACTTGGAGGTGAGTAATTTACTAGAGTATTTTAGGCAAAACTACACTTTTCTGTCAAATTGAACCTTGCATTTAAAGACTTCAGATGAAAATACTCCAGTAATGCTGAGAATATGTGAACATACCACATTAGTGTATAGGAGGGCTTATTGATCAATGTTCTTCCATTTTGGTTGACTTAAGTCATAACTGACATATTCTTAGTTTAATTGTTTGCAGGCTACTCCCTCATTGTACATTATCCACATTTGGAGTCCTATGATGGGCAAATGTGCTTCATGTTTTCCAGAGTTGAAAAGTAGAATTTATCTTCAAATTTTATAATTAATGGCATATTTTATTTTTTAAAGTACTCATATCACTTGAGAATGAATATGTCAATGGAAAAGAAATACAATGTGTTTTCAATTGTCCTGTAAAAATATTGCAGGATCCCATACAACTGACTTGTATCATTAAAAAGGCAATAAAACCAAATCCAAGAATTGTACAGGAATGTCATAATGTGTCATTCCTCAGCAGACTGTCCTTTCTTCAACCCTCATTCCACTTCATCCAATTCCAGTAAGAGTTTCAGAGTGACAAGAGTCACCTCAGTCACATGCATCACTGTCCAACTACCCCTCCCTTGACTCTGACATTCCTAGCCTGCTGGTAAGTGGCACTTAGAAGAATAGTTTCTCTATCCTTGAAAATATGAGACACTATATAAGTTTTTAAATAAATTTCAGAAGATCTGCTTAAAAGTGACAGAGCATAACATACCCCATTGTCAGGGACTGATTCCTAGGGCTTAATTGGACTTAGAAGATTTAGGAAAAAATTATCAAATCAACTGAGTAATGCTAATTATGTATTTATTTACTTAGAGTGATAGGTGCAATAATGCCTGTGAGTGTTGATATGCCAAACTCAGTCAGATATCTTTGAAATAAATATTTCTTTCTTTCTTTTACATTATTTTTTTAAGATGACACAAAATCTTGTCTCATTTTAGGAATATCCAACAGTTGGACAACTCATTGATAAACTGGTGCAAAACAATGTGTTACTGATCTTTGCTGTAACCCAAGAACAAGTCCATTTATATGAGGTAAGCAAACATAACTCAGGAAATCCCTTCAGGGAGATTGTGTGTCATGAAACTTTAATATTAACTGTGAGTTTAACACATAGGAAGGCCATTAGATAATCATTAACACATACCAAATGTACTGAGCACTTGGCAAAGTGAATTCATGTACTACTTGCAATTTAAATTATAAACACATGCGTGCAGTGAGGAATTGGGGGCAGATATGGCGGGACAGGGAGGAAAGAGTGATGGAAATGGAAACGGTAAAACAGGACAGAGTACCAATAAACACATACTACCCACAGGAAGGAAAGTCAGCCTTTTTCCCCTTGAACTGTGCCATCTGATGAGAAGGGAGTTAAAGAGAAACTTTTGAGTAGGATAATTTACTTTTCATTCTTTGGCATTTCAAACTAGATACATAGAAAAGACACAAGCAAAGACATAAGCTTTTGAGAAGTGGGAAGTTCAAGGAAATAACTTACTATATTGGGTCAAAAAATAATTTCTCCCTTAAAATGGATGTGCGGTCCAGTTGAATGGAAGCACCAACTACAAAAAGGAAACTATTTCATTAGATGAAGTGATGTTCCTAAGCCACTGTACAAATTATAACTTAACATATAGTGTACATAAATGCAAAAGATTTCTATAGTTTTTTTCCAGCCTAAGAAAAAGAATATGTCGGAGCAACCCCTTCGGGTCAGTGGGAGCTTTTCTGTTCTCTTAATAAATCCTGCTTTACAAAAAAAAGAAAAATAATATGTCAAAACACCACAAATTGATTTACTACTAATGTGCAGTTTCACAGAGAAATAAGGAGTCTTTAGCATGGGCCTTAGAAATGTAGAGAAGTTAAATAGTCTGTGCCTTCTGTGCAGAAGCTTCAAATACTTTTAAATTCAGTGTCCAATCTCCCATTCCTTTTGAAAGGACATCTTAACTTGCTGGGTGACTTTACAGGGCTTGTGAAACTCCGAGATTATGTCACAGAGGGCTTTGATTAAATGCCACTCACTACTAAGGACGGTACAGTCCATGAACTTGCATCAGGTTCTGCACAAAGGATTCAGGAGGAGATGCTATCTTGCATTTTTAATGAGAGGAGGGTATTGTACTCCCAGGTGAGATTGCCTTCTGCTGCAAACCAAGGAAGTCCCTTGCAATCAAGCTTCATACTCGATGCCTTTGTTCTACTCAGAGACCATGTGGGTTCACCTGATACGGACATTTTCTTAAGACTCTGTAGTATGTGATACTTGTTTCCAGTGATTTTAAGTAATAGAGTTGCAGTTGAGATTTTTAAAAAATACCCCCAAATACAATAGTGAGTCTATTCTGCCTTTGATCCTTAAGGCTAGAGTGAGAGGACCCTGGGGGTCACAACATCTCCTCCACAGTAAGGCTCCAGTGAAGGGGGGCGGAAGTTGCCCAGAACTTTTCTTCAAAGGGGAGTCTGGGGAACACAATTGATGATCATGAACATAGGCTCCCATAACTCACTTTGGTAATAGTCTTTAAGACTCACAACTCATTTATATGTCTCCCCGAAACTGCTATTAAAAAGACAGAGGAAGATGAAAAATAACTGTGGCAAAACAAAATCTGTTGGATTTAACCTAGTTGCATCCATGGTTCCCCTGTTGCAAAGGAAATGATCATTTTCAAAGAAAACGCCAGATTAGAACCTGCCTCTCATGTAACAGCAGGACATTTATTTTGCCTGCCTTCTAATCTCATTATGAGGCGAATTTATGTTCTGTCATGATCCGTGGTCTTTACCATTCAGGTTCCACTAAATTCAAAGGGACATTTTCAGGGAGTCATACAACCATCCAGGTCAGCAGCCCACTCTATGACTCTGGTTGTTTCATTATTTTATTTTTATTTTGATGGGCTCATCATATCATCTGCATTAGTCGGGGCAGGCAGCAGCCTGGCCTAAAGATAATGACGGCAACGTTGCACATCCCTGAATGCTCCACGCAGAATGAAAATGCTGATCTCCCGTTTTATTGATAATGAAAACTGAAAATAGACCAATAATGACTTGTGCTGCCTTTCAATTTAAATCTTTTAGAAGGAGCCCTATGTGTGCAGGAGTCCTGTGCAATCTGATGTTTGGAAAGCTGTGGTATAAGGAGCGTAACTACTAAAGAATTATTGAAAAAATAAAACCAGTGAAAGGATAAATAAAGCAATTAAGTATTTAGATCTAATGAAAATTCTAGAAGGAAAATTATTTGCCCGAGTTATGTATTAAACATAGTTACTTGCCTATACTGCAGGCCGGAGATGGGTTAGGTTCAGTGACGGCCCTGTCTGCAGCAAATAAGATTTATGGTGCCCATTCATGGAATGTAGGAAAAATGACTGTTTTTCAGTAATTTTGGTAAGCTACATTGGACTGCCACGTGTGCAGTGTTCCTGCATGTTGTTGTAACAGAAATGAACAAACAATGAAAAGAATAAAGTGAACAGTTTTGCCTTTAGTTCACTATGACTGCGTGTGCACCCAAGATTCCAGAAACAGAATATTTTTGAACAAACTTATTATTATGAATAACTTCCTGTTTGCCCAATTACAGGGTTCAAAAGATAATGATAGATAATAGACTGAGCAGTAGGTAGTATATTGCAGTCTAGTGCTAAATACCATTTTGAATCAGGATTCAATTACCCAAGTTAAAAAAAATTTATATCACCTCTGTTGTTTTTAAATGTTTACTGTTAATTTACATTAAGATAATATCAGACTACTAAACGTTAACTGTCTAATTTGAATAGTCTTTCCTTCCTAGTGAGATATTGAGATAAAAAGCAATTAAATCAGTGTTCCTTATTACATTGTCAAATCATATTATTAATCGCCTCAGGTTATTTGCAAGGTTTTAAAATATCCTATATCTTTTCAAAATATCTACATCTGGCTGGGAAAGATGACTTTAGTGAAGTTAATAGCAATAATTGTTGTATGACTCTGTATTTATGATGTAATGCTGAAGCACAGCACTTAGAAAGTAAACAAGATTATTGGTAATGTTACCACATGCCAGAGATTCAGTCAGGGTCCTGTGGCTCACTGCACAGAAAACCAATCGCAGAGACAAATGAGTATTGCCGGGGAAGAAGGCTCTTTATTCAGGTGATATCAGCCAAGGAAATTCATTCTCAAATTCATTTCCCTATCTCACTGAAGTCAAGGGTTTATATAGTAAGGCAGGGATGTAGAAAACAGGAACTTGGGAGGGGTAAGGAAGAAGGGTTGGAAAACAGGTGGAGCCTGGCATCTCATTGCCTGGATGCCATGATCTGGTGAGTTTCAGTCTCATGATACTATAGGCCTGAGGGTTAGTTTCTTGAGAAAGGACTCTGATAAGACAGAGTTTCCATCTTTAAGGTAAGGAAGGAACTTGGATAAGACAAAGTTTCAACCTCTAAACTACTTTCCTGAGGTTAGTAGTTTCCTACTTACCTCAGGAAGGTAAATTTCTATTTTTATTCAAAAAATTATAGCCATTAGTTCTTCAGGGAAAGTTAGACTTGTTTTAGTATAAGACATTTCTGGTTTGCTCACTAACATCTATGGCCCCTAATTAATGTCTCTGTGGCTAATAGGGCAAAGTGATATATCTAAAGCTTGGGGACAGGGAGTACAAACAGGTTTTTATTCCACCAAAGGGTCCTTTCCTCTGGTGACAAAAAGTCCTCAATTACCAGTTCTCTGAGGAGCATGGTAGGTCTTGCCCTTCTTTCTGTTTAGGACAATTCTTGATACACAGGAGCTTCTCTTGAGATATTTGTTGAATAAACCAAAAGGTGCAATAAAACACTTCATCTTTTCCACAATTGGGTCAAATGTTCTAAATAGGGCCATGAAGTTTTGTGTGACAAATATTTGTCAAGGTTGAGGAAGGCCATATGTACAGAGCAGGTTGGGTCACCTGACCATTGCTAAGATTCTCTGCAGCCCTAGCTATCCCTTCTTCCACACCATTCCACCTAGGATGCTGGAGGTAACAGAGAGAAAAGAACACTCTGCTATTAGTCTTGAGTGGTCCTAAGACTTAGAATTAGGTGGTCCCAGACCTGTTGGAGAAGCTCCACATCCTTTTTACTAGGCCACAAAAGGCATTACATCTGATGGCCATTACATCTATAAACAAACATAAAGAGAAGCTACGATATGCTGTGAGTCTGATGTTCTCGTGTGACTGGTGAAAATTATCCACCCAAGTTTCAATTTTTCAGGAATCAATAACCTATTTTTTATTTCACCTCTTCTTTCTTCTACTTGTTCTTTTGAGCTTTTCACTATTATAAGGGAGGAAAGGAGGCAGAGAAAACAGGGAGATAAAATAAAAATTGAACCCCTTTGGTATTTGTTATCCTGTTCTATTATTGCTTTGTTTTATAACTCCTGCTGGAAAAGATCAGAACAATTTTTTTTCCAATGGAAATCTCTTTATCTCTATGGCCTTAGTTTTTAGAAAACAAGAGGACTGGGCACAATGACCTCCAGCATTAAGTCAGTGACTCTAATTCTGGAGGGAGACATTACCAAGATTTCCAACGATCTATGCACAAATGACAAAGTTTAGTGAGCTGTAATGTAACTAATTTTAGGACATGATCTGGGAAGTTTTTCTTTACCCTATCAATCTTATCCTCTAGTAAAGTATTTCAAACTTGTTATTTTAGTAAAAATAACCAGGAGTAAAAAGACAATTTCTGGATTGAGACATCTCCATGGAGTTATTAATTGTTCTTAATTTAAGTGTAATGGAAAGGATTTTTTCTCTCTCCTTAATTGATGGTATCTGGGAACAAAGACCGAGGCGTGCCAGCTACCTACACTCTGCTCATTAATGAAAACATCCCTCAGAGAGGGATGATTTGGAAATAAAATTCATGTCCTCAGATTACCGGCAGAGTTATTAGGAGTATTTTCCAGGTTAATTAATAAATCCTAACCATGGAAAATCATCAGTAGTTATTTCTTAGATCACACATAGTAC